CTCTTCCGTTTTTTCGTAGTTTCAGAAAGTTTTGTATTAGCCGGAAGAAGGAGCGAATTCTATTCCCTGTCAGACGTTTAGTGTGGTAACAAATTTGTCTGTCCGCACTAACTTGGACAGTGATATATTCAAGGTCGGTCACCAGTTTTTTTTATCATGCGCTTTTGCAGTGTAATTCCTTGAGGTTTAGGCAGAACTAGTGGACTGCAGTAAGAAATGGACTTAAGCTAAGATAACATTTGCGAATGTCTGCTATTCAAGTGTAACCAGAACCTTGTCAGGTATAACCAGAATTCCGCTGGCTTCAAAACGACTAAAATTCAGTAAATGGAAGAAGGCTGCAGCTTTTAGTTTACGCAGAAGAAACTGGTATTTGAAAACACTATTGAAAACCGTGACCGAAACCAAAGGTCGTCTAGGATGATGGCCAAGTGTTGAGTGATATACGATACTGATGTAATCGGCTTTTCTAATTTCTTGTATTTGCTTTTGAGTATACCAGACGGAATTTTGCATTAGATACTTTCCATAACAATATACAAATGCTCCTCGACTTACGTTGGGGTTGCGATTCGACGCCTAACTCATCGTAAGTTGATAATATCATAAGTCAGATATAAATCTGATATGATACAGAAATAAGTAAATAAACGAATAATTAAATGTACATAACTAAACGCCAGTTGTTGAAAAGTTAGCATTAATTGCTGGAAGTTGATGCTGAGGAGGACGCTATTGCGATGGGGTCACAGATGTCTTTTTCTTCTGATGATTCGCGTTTCAAAGCATGGCTGGTAAGGGGCATTGATGGCTGTTGTTGATGCTTCAGGAACAGGCGTCTGTTTCTTCAAGATACGGTTGGACAGTTTGTTTCTTGTTTTCTTTATAAATTTGTTTCATAGCAAGGAAGAGTATCCTGTACTTGTCTTTCAAATTTTGCAAATCTCATGACTGTGATCGTATGGTCACCGTATGATATGTTTCTGAACACTCTGTAAGATGTTTACGCTCGCGATCGTTACCGAGACTGAGGGCACATCGTTGTTTCACCATCGTAAAGTCGAAATATCGTAAGTCGAACCATCGTAAAGCGAGAAGCGTCTGCATATATAATTTATATTTATGTTTGGCCGTCAAGAACGCATTAATTCGTTCGTACCTCTGTAGACTGAAATTTATTCGTAATCAGTATTTGATTCGCAGCAC